TAAATAGTGGACATTTCTATGCCACTATTTGCCCTTCAGTTTATAGTGGCACATGCCCAAAATAGTGGCATTGCCACTTAAATAGTGGCGAGTTGGCAACACTACTCCTGACCCTCATTTCAACTGGGCTAAAACCATGACATTTCGAAATGATCCAAAATTTTCTATGTTCTAGTCACGTGATTTAAATAATTTTTTGTTAAAAAAAACTAGACATGTGGAACTCTGTTTTAAAATTTACAGAATTGATTTAGCTCATTCCGTTCGGGAGATATAACAATAGGGGAGCGACAAGTTTTTTTGGACGACTGGATAACAATATTTTACGAATAATTTTAATAAGTTGTAATTTTTTTGAAATTATTTAACTATTTAAGTTTTCACATTTATTTAATTATGTAAACTTCATCATGAAGTAAAATATATGCCGGTTCTATTAAATTTGGTTAATACAGTTGGCCCGGATAAGCCGGGCATATGTCAAAAGTATGCCCGAACATGCCGTGTAGTTGTACGATTAGGGTGTGCTTGCTTTTTGAATATTAAATTAGTCGTTACATAATGTTTTTCAGATCAATCATGCACAATACTAAATGTTTACATTTTAAAATTATAATTGTGCTAATTAAAACGTTTAAAAAAATTATAATTATTATCCAAGTTATCCCAATTTAAAAATAAATTCCAAAACTATTTAATGAACATATAATACAATATAAGTTCTTACAGTTTGTAAAGTAATGTCATATATAAAATGTCTATAATCTTAATTAGTTATTTCAATAGTATATAGCAGTGAATCATTATAAAAATGTTATTTTAATTTGTTTAACATCAGGCAAATGGACAGTTGGCTTTGAGCGCTGGCATCGGGACAACAGTCACGAGTCTGCCATATCATACCTGTCCGTCACCAGTGAGTCCCGGGTTGACGAGCCCGTGAAGGTCAGGGTCTAGATTGACACACCATTCACGGCCACCGGTAAGGGTCCGGACCGTAAGGTTAGGTTAGGCCGCGAGAGTTGGGCCGAAACACACGGTTTGTGGTCACCAGCGATGATATCGAGTCTGAATGTGACTCTTAAGGCGCCCGACGGCCGGGTCTATGGTTTGGGCGGCGATCGAGCGGTGTATCGGCCGCTGGAGATGAAAGCGGTGTTCGCTATACCGATGGCCGACGAGGGGATGCTTTTTGAAAATAAATATATTTTACCAACATGTTTAAATTTTTTAATTTAAAATCTTGCTAATATAAAACGTGCAAAAATAAGCACACTGTCAACTAATTTCCATTTAATATTAAATACCAAAACCAGTTTATGAACATATAATACAATATAAATTTTTACAGTTTATAAAGTAATATCATATAAATTGTTTTAATCTTATTTAGTTATTTCAATAGTGTATTGTATAAACTTTATGTAATAAATTATTATAAATATACGTATCTTTATCTTATCATGATTGGTTTAACATCAGACAAATGGACAGTTGGCGCCGGCACCGGGACAATAGTCAGGAGGCTGTCATAGCATATTCATCCGTCACCAGTGAGTCCCGATTGGACGAGCCCGTGAAGGTCAGGGTATGGATTGACGCCCCATTCACGGCCACCGCTAAAGGTCCGGATCATATGGTAACTACAACTGCAGTAATTACGGCCGAAGTGACCAAACGGTACAACTATGTCATCTGTGCGGATGTGTTGGCACTGGTGGACAGGCCTACCGGCGATCCAGTGGTGGTGC